GCAAGGCAAAGTCAGTTGGCAGCCAGCCGCTGTGGGCTCTGTGCTCCGCGGCCCCTGTGGTTTGGGGTGGGAAGGGTCCGGCTTGACCAGGTGCTGCCAGCTCCTTGTTCCTGGGCATCTCCTGCCCCACAAGGAGGTCTTGTCCGTCCCGCCACATCTGCTCTTTCCTCTCACCTTGCTCCTGTCAGCAGGGGCACTGTGCACCTGACGGAGCAGAGCCAGCAGGTTTGGGGCTCCGGGGCTCCTGCACCCTGGCCAATACCTTCTCTTGCTGTTGCCCTGAAGGACAGAGTTGGGGTTGATTTGAACTCCCATGGGGTGCATCCAGCGGAAGTGTCTTCTCATAGGAACTCCCTCCTCAGAAGCAGCCGCCCTGGCTGGGGCCTGTGGGGAGGGTCCCCCCATGCATCGGAGCTCACCACAGCCTGATGTAAATTTGCCTTTGGCATACCCAGGACAGTGTACGTGGCCAGAGGGCACAGCGGTCATCACAACGGGAAGGGGAGCCGGACCGAGCTGTCGCCAGCATAGCAACATAACATTTAGGGGAAATAGGAGTCACTCATTTCCACTTAAAAGTTCTGTTTTTTGTTTTAGGGTTTATTTAGAGAGAGCACACACGGGAGGGGCAGAGGGAGAGAGAAACTCCAGCAGACTCCTTGCTGAGCTTAGAGCCCGAAGCAGGGCTTGATCTCAAGACCCTGAGATCATGACCTGAGCCGAAACCAAGAGTCCAACTGACTGCACCACCCAGGGGCCCCTAGAGTTCTATTTTATTTTTGATCAGGAGTAACTTGCTTCCTGTCTGTAGGTAGCCTGAACCCTCAAAACAGTCATGGCGTTTGTGAGGGTCACTGGAAGGGGCTTACAGGGGTACGGGAAGCAGGTCTGTCAAAGAGGCCTTCTGCAGGGACTGTCCCTGGAGTGAGCCAGGGACTTAGATGGGCCCGTGGGAGAACCTCCCCCACCAGAAGGGGCCATACTCGGGCTCCTCTGCAGGACTGATCAAGTGATGTCCAACTGGGTCCCTGTCCGTCCCCAGATATCCCTGAGCCTGTACCAGGCCAGGGGATCCCGTACAGGCCAGGGCATCCTGTGGAGCAGTAACAAGAGGCCCTAGGGACATCTGAGCTGCCACGTGCACCAGGCTAGGCTGAGTGTTTTCTATAAACAGTCCTCGTTAATCCTCATAACAATTGGCTTTTAAGTACGTTGGTTGGATCACATCCCTTCCCTGCTTCCGGCTGTACCTAGAAGAAAATCCAGACTCTTCCCCATGCGGGATCCGGCCCCTGATGTCTCTGCTGCTCTTTGCCTTGCTTGCTGTGCTCTGGCCATTCTGAATGCCCTTCTCTTCCTGGAGCTCACCAGCCTGTTCCTGCCTCAGGGCCTTTGCACTTGTTCTTCTCATTGTCCACAGTGACCTTTCCTCAGCTCTCTTGGCTGCTGCTTCTCGTCACTTGAACTCAAATTAAGAGAGGTCTGCCCTCATTACCCTAGTTTTGGAATTTTTTGGATATCAAATGGAATTTTTTCCATTTTCCCAGAATTGCAAACTAGGCCCAGAGCGGATGACAGAGCACACGAAGTACTTCACTGCATTCCAAATGCAGAGAGCCACAGGCGGCTGGTGGAGCCTCCTCCCACAGGGCTGGTGGAGAGGGGTCCCCTGAAAACCAGCCCGGCCCCCACCCCGTTGCTCTGCAGCGACCCTGAGACTGGTGGGCGGTGGCCTTTAGGGGAGTGCAGCATTTGTGATCAAAAGTCATTCCCTCCAGGGGCGCCTGGGTGGCTCAGTTGGTTAAGCGTCTGCCTTCGGCTCAGGTCATGATCCCAGAGTCCTGGGATCGATCCCCGCATTGGGCTCCCTGCTCAGTGGGAAGCCTCCTTCTCCCTCTCCCACTCTCCCTGCTTGTGTTCCCTTTCTCGCTGTGTCTTTCTCTGTCAAATAAATAAATAAAATCTTAAAAAAAAAAAAAGTCATTCCCTCCATCCGCATTGGAGGCCCAAGGAAGGTGGTTTTCCAGGGCACCTGGCGGCAGGGCCTGGCTGGTGGGGTGTCCGGATTGGCCAGAGCACAGCAGGCTGGGAAAAGTGCAGTGGAGCCGTGGCAGGGAGCACGGATGAGGGGAAGTGAGAGAGATAGTGGGGTGTGCTTGTCTGCAGGGTGTCATGCACACCCCAGTCGGTGAGCCCAGAGCATGAGCTCACCCTGCCGGTGTTGCGTGAGGACCCATGCCAGTGAGGTGGGTTGTATTTATCAGCTCCGTTTCATATGCAGGTACCTGCCCTTTGGGGAAGAGGCATGGCTCATGCGAGGTTCAGGCAAACGGAGCTGGACTTGGAAGCCCGGCCTGCCGGACTTAACACTGGATCACCTCCTGCATTAGCTCCTGACTCCCTTCTCCAGTCCTGACCCCTGACTGTGGATGTGGAAGCGTGGCCTGCTTCCCCCTTCCTGGCCCCTTGGGCAGCCGCCAGGGCAGGGGGCCATGGGGAGCAGGTGAGGCCTGTTTCCTGCATCCCGACAGTGTCCTATGGTAGCCACGAGCTGCAGGAGGAGGGTCTGAGGGGACAGGCACGTCAGCTCCAAAACTGACCTCCAGGGCACGAGTGTTCAACTGAGAGTAGTTCATATGTTCTTACATGTTTGGTGTGTTTCCTGCCCCCCGACTTCTTCCCAGGAGCCAGCTTGCACTATCTAACATGGTTGTGAATGAGTGTGCGTGTGTCAGTCTAAGGAAAAGGCTTTGCAGGATACGCCCTAAAATGTGAGTCATGTTTACCTTTAGGAGGAAGAGGGGGTAGGATTGGGGTGGGCAACTGAAACAGGACTTCACATTTTTGTTCCACAATTTTGTATTATTGGCCCTTTTTGTGATGATGCTTTCCTGTTTAAAAACGACAACAACCGAGAAAACCACCCTGGATCTGGTTTTATAGATGCCTAAAGCGGTCGCTGCAAGCCTCGCTGGCCCCGGAAATGCCATGCTGTCTCTCGGGGTGGGGCTTGAGGAGGACACCTCTGGGAGCTCAGGGAGTTCCTCCAGGGTCTTCTAAGCACGCCCCAGCCTCGGACTCCCTCTGAATCCGGCATGTCCCTGAGCTCCTTGCTGCAGCAAACGAAACTGTTTGTCTGCTTCTCCCTGAAGGTCCTTCTGAAGGAACTTTGCAAGGTGCGATAATTGTCTTTGGAGTTGCCAGTTTAATATTCCACCAGAATGGGAGGCCAGTTGAGTGAGGATTGGTGCTGTCCTGCCCAGCTCTTGTTCTGCTTATAAACATGTTTACTGCCCTGAGAAGGAGCTGCTGCTTTTCTCACACACAGGATGGGCCTGGGGTCCCCTTCAGAGGTTAGCGGGCCCAGAGCCTAGTATGAAGGATCTAAACCCTATAGGTGGGGCTCCTGGCTGGCTCAGTCCGAAAAGCGTGTGACTCTTTATCATGGGATTGTGAGTTTGAGTCCCATGTTGGGGGTAGAGAGGACTTAAAGAAATAAAAACTAAAAAAACAAAACAAAACCCGGAAACCTATAGGTAATTTGCACATGGGGACTGTGGGGTGCAGCCTGGGTGTGGCTCTTCAGGGCCTGGGCAGGGGGGCTCCTTTCCCACCCAGGACAGAGCAAACTTACCAGCTCCATGAAGGCTTCTTTTTTCTGAAAAGGAAGGAAAGGCTCCAGCCCAGCTGCAGGCAGGGTTCCGCTGTGGGTGAGGCACTGCTTGGTGGGACTTGTGAAATGGGTGTTGTTACAAAACCTTATTTTAGTTCATCTTCTCTATGGGGAAGCTCCTATAAGAGCAGCATCGACTGATACGTATCCAGGAGAGCTGGAAGCTAGACTCCGACAGACCCTGGCACGCCCACATTCACAGCAGCATTGCTCACGGGAGCCAGGAGCCGGCAGCGACCCAAGCCCACCTGCAGATGAGGGGGTGAACGCAACGTGTTCTGTCCACACGGTGGAATAGTCTTTAACCATGAAAAGGAATGACATTCTGATTAGGGGAGGGCAGGATGGACAGGTGGAACACAGCGGTATTCTAGGGCAGTGAAAATACCCTGTATGGGCCTGTCATAAGGATACATGTCATCATACATTTGTGCAAACTCCTAGAAGGTACCCTTGTTACCCTGCAGATTTCAGGTGACGATGACGAGTTCATGCAGGCTCCTCACTGGGGAGCAGTGCCGATGATGGGGCATTCTATGCATGTGTGGGGCAGGCAGGGGGTGAGAAATCTCTGTGCCTTTCTCTGCATTTCCTTCCTCTCCATTTTCCTGTGAACTTGAAACTGCTGTAAAAAACAGTCTTAGGGGTGCCCGGCTGGCTCAGTCAGTAGAGCAACTCTTGACTTGGGGTCAGGAGTTCCAGGCCGACGTTGGGTATAGACGTGACTTAAAAAATAAAATCCTAAAAAAGTAAAATAAAGAATAAAAAATAGTCTTAAGTTAAAAAAAAAAATTCTCGGGGCACCTGGGTGGCTTAGTTGGTTAAGCGTCTGCCTTCGGCTCAGGTCATGATCCCAGGGTCCTGGGATTGAGCCCCCCATCGGGCTCCCTGCTCCACAGGAAGCCTACTTCTCCCTCTCCCACTCCCCCTGCTTGTGTTCCCTCTCTCGCTGTGTTTCTCTCTGTCAAAATCTTTAAAAAAAATTTTTTTAATTAAAAATTCTGATACACGCTATAAATCTAAATGAACCTTGAGGACATGATGCTCAGTGAGGTAAGGCAGACACAAAATGACGAATGTGTATGATTCCACCTCTGTGAGGCTTCTGTGAGTTGTCCCATTCATAGAGACAGTAGAAGGGTGGGCACCAGGGGCTGGGGAGGGGGCGTCCGTGTTTAATGGGGGCAGAGTTTCAACTGAGGAAGAGGAACGTGATCTGGTTTTATACTGTAATTCTTTAATTTCCACTCAGCATTGTTAAGGCGTGACTTCCTTTTTATATTTTCAGGTGAACGTGATCTGGGGATGGATGGTGGTGAGGGCTGCACAACCGTGTGAATGTGCTTAATGTGTGCACTCAAAAATGGCTAAAATGGTAAATCTGTATATTTTGCCACAGTGAAAAATACTGTATCAAGTTTGCTTCTTCCTCTGCCCCTCCCCCAAGCTCATGCTCACACCTGCATGCTCGCTCTCTCTCTCTCTCTCTCTCAAATAATAAATAAATCTTGAAAAAACAAAATAAATGTGAACCTTCAAATGCATTTAAGCCTGACTTTTAAACCAACAGGGTATGGGATGGCAAACAGGTTAGCAGAAAAGCCTCTGAGAGGGAGCTGGGGATTTGGCTGCTCCGTGCCCTGCCTGGCAGCCTAGGACTCCCTTCCTGGGCCCCCTACACCATGGACCCCCCGGGGTACAACTGCTTTGTGGACAGAGACAAGATGGACGCTGCCGTGCAGGACCTGGGCCCCAAGGAGCTGAGCTGCACCGAGCTGCAGGAGCTGAAGCAGCTAGCTCGCCAGGGCTACTGGGCCCGCAGCTATGCCCTGCGGGGCAAGGTGTACCAGCGCCTGATCCGGGACATCCCCTGCCGCACCGTCACGCCGGACGCCAGCGTGTATAGCGACATCGTGGGCAAGATCGTGGGCAAGCACAGCACCAGCAGCCTGCCCTTGCCCGAGTTCGTGGACAACACGCAGGTGCCCAGCTACTGCCTGAACCCGCGCGGCGAGGGTGCTGTGCGCAAGATCCTGCTGTGCATTGCCAACCAGTTCCCGGACGTGTCCTTCTGCCCTGCCCTGCCAGCCGTTGTGGCCCTGCTGCTCCATTACAGCACAGACGAAGCCCAGTGCTTCGAGAACGCCTGCCGCATCCTGGCCTGCAATGACCCCAGCAGGAAGCTCATGGACCAGAGCTTCCTGGCCTTCGAGTCTTCCTGCATGACCTTCGGGGACCTGGTGAACAAGTATTGCCAGGCGGCCCACAAGCTGATGGTGGCCGTGTCCGAGGACGTCCTGCAGGTCTACGCGGACTGGCAGCGCTGGCTGTTCGGGGAGCTGCCCCTCAACTACTTCGCCCGCGTCTTCGATGTCTTCCTGGTGGAGGGGTACAAGGTGCTGTACCGTGTGGCGCTGGCCATCCTCAAGTTCTTCCACAAGGTGAGAGCCGGGCAGCCGCTGGAGTCGGACAGCGTGAAGCAGGACATCCGCGCCTTCGTCAGGGACATCGCCAAGACCGTGTCTCCGGAGAAGCTGCTGGAGAAGGCGTTCGCCATCCGCCTCTTCTCCCGGAAGGAGATCCAGCTCCTGCAGATGGCCAACGAGAAAGCTCTGAAGCAGAAGGGCATCACCGTCAAGCAGAAGAGGTAGGCGGGCCCCTTGGGGCCTCAGGCGTGGCCCCCGGCAGCTCTGAGGGGCCCACGTGGGCAAGGGCTGGGGCACGTCCTGGGGGGTGGGGCTGGAACCCATCTTGCCAGTCTCTTGGTCGGCCACCAGGCCGCCCTGCGTGGTTAGAAATGCACGGGAGGGAGATGGGGCCTCGCGGGTGCAGAAGGTGCAGGGTCCTGCCCTCAGGGACAAGGCCCATGGCTGTGACAGAAGCCAGACGTTGACCGTGGAGTCAGAGGTCGGCAGGGGGCCGGGCTGACCGCTGAGCATCATTTCAGAGCTGCCCCTGCTCTGCCCCTCCTGCTCTGGGCTCCCTTGCTTGCTGTCCTCGTGGCTGCTGGGTATGCCCGCCGCCCTGAGCACAGCACCTGGGAGCTGGGCTGGGAAGGGTGCATGGCAACCGCACACCGTCTCGGCCTGACCAGGCCGTCGGTACGGAGGCCTTTCTCCTAGGCCACAGGCAGGTGCGTCCTGGCCGTCGGTACTTGCCACTAACCTGTCCTTGTCTGTTTTATTTTTCTTCCTCTTCTCTGTGTCCATTGCTTCCTCCTGTTTTTCAGTGTTTCACTCTCTAAAAGGTAGGTCTGTTAACCACGTGTCCATGCCTGGCCTCTCTCCATCTCTGGCCTGGCTGTCCCAGGGCCTGGCTGCTTGCTCCGCTCTCAGGGCTGGCTTTGGCAATGCTACCTTGAAGCCTGGCTGATGTTCAGGTCCTGTCTGCTCAGCTGCCTCGGATGGGCTGTCTGTCAGTGCTTGGCTGGCTCTCTCTCTGTCCCCATGTATTAGGGAAAAGGTGCTTTTGTCCTGGCCCAGGCTGGGTGCTCTCCCCTCTGTAACCTCTGGGAGTGGGGCTCCAGGGCTCAGTGCCATCCCGTTTCTCCCTCAGTGGGTGAGAAGCCCCCTGCAGGCTTAGCTTCTACGAGAGGTTCTGCATCCCTCCAGGGTGGGGGGCATGGTCAGGGCTGGGGTCCCGACTGTGCTCTGAGCCCTCCCTGCTCTCCCCAGGCAGTTTGTGCACCTGGCCGTGCATGCAGAGAACTTCCACTCCGAGATTGTCAGCGTGAAGGAGATGAGAGACATCTGGTCGTGGGTCCCCGAGCGCTTCGCCCTCTGCCAGCCCCTTCTGCTCTTCTCGTCCCTGCAGCATGGGTACAGCCTGACCAGGTAACCCCCAGGAGACCAGCACACACTGGGCCTGCCCTCCCGAGGCCCGCCGGTGCAGGGGGACAGAGCGAGCTGTGGGACCACTCCAGAATGTTGTGGTGGTGGCTGGAGATGGGCCCCTGGATATTCCCAGGGGGCCCCGGAATCGGGAGCCCCTCTTCCTGGACTTCTCTTACTCCCAGGCCACCCACACTTGAGGGCTCAGTGCCCTGAATACACAGCATGGCTCCAGGCTTCTGTGTGGGTGGTGGGACAACATGGGAAGCAGAATCCCCACCCAGGAGTGTAAAGAATCCTAGCACAGGATGACCCGTGTCACTACTTCCCAACCCCCACTTGGCTGGTCCACAGGTGGGTCCAAGGAACTCCCCCTCAGGGCGTACCGCCTCTCAAGGCAGCTCTGCCAGGTGTAGCCCCAGGTGGCCTCAGAAGTTTCTGGCTTGGGTCACAGGTGACCCCACAGAGGTGGCATAGCTAGAGATCGATTCGCCTGCTCCCCCCCGCTGCCCCTCCCCCATGCTCTGTGGGAGGCCCGGCAAGAGTGTGGGACAGCCCGGCAGGGCCACCAGGGACGCTGGGCAAGCCCTGGGCGCTTGGTGCCACCACAATGCAACGTCAGGCCTCCTCAGGCACTTCTCAGTGTTGCCTCTCAGGCTCAGGCTCCTGGGCACGTGCCGAGCTTTCCTAGAACAGGGACCTGTTCCTCTGGTCTTGCCTTCCTGAAGCACCTGGCACATGGCTGCTGCAGTTGGTCTGCCGTGCACCTTCCCCCCACATACAAGGACACACAGTCTGGCGTAGCTGACTGCTTGGCCTCCAGGCTGCCTGGCCTGGGCTCTGTCTTGGCTGAGAAGTATCCAGGCCAAGGTGCTGCCAGGTCCTTGGCCATTGGGCCTGCTCCCCAGGACACAGGGAAACACAGTTCCCAGGCCCACCTACCCCAGACAGCCCGGGCTTCTCAGGTACAGTGGGCACCAGATGCTGTGGCCGAAGGTCGCACTGGGCAGGATGCCAGGCTGGACGTGTGCTCTTTGCTGCCAGGTTCTATTTCCAGTGTGAAGGACATGAGCCCACCCTCCTGCTCATCAAGACCACGCATAAAGAGGTGAGGAGGGGTCCGTGCCTCTGATGAGCTTCGGGGAGGGTGGGTGCTGCCTTGAAACCTCTACCCAGGCTTCCTGCACTCAGGGGTACAGAGTGGAAGAGGGGTGAGCCCAGCCTCCCCGAGTGACCACCAAGGACCCAGGGCCTCCTGTCTCCCCTGGGCCTCTCGGCTCCTGCTGAAGCAGCCTGATCCCCCAGGGCCTGGCTTCAGGGAGCACTGCAAAAATAACCTAGTGAGCAAGACCCTGCCTCCCCTCCACTTGCTGTCTTCACCCGCCCCCCCTACCACACCCCGACAGGTAGTTGTCAGGGCCTGTCCACTGCAGTCACCTGGATGTGCCCTGAAGCATCTAGGAAAGTCAGAACTCACGGGCCTCCGTTCTGGGGGCATGTGCTCCCGGTAGAGGCTCCTTGTTCCTTGGCTCCCAAACCTGCACCCATGGGAGTTTTAGGTTACTCACCCCGTTCCCGATCCTGTGTCTGCGTTCTAACAGGTGACTCACTGTCAGACACGGGGGGCAAAGCCCTCAGCCACTCAGAGGACTGAGTCTGTTGGTGAAATCTAGCACTTTGCTAGCTGGCGGGGTTGGGAAACTTTCTAGAGTGGGGTCCTCTCTGGGAAGCTTCTGTGTGAGGGGCATCCCTGGGGTTGACAGCCGAAGTTCGAGTGCTGACGTGGGCTACTCTGCATGCTTGAGGGCCAAGGAGGGAAACAAAAGTATCTTCAAGGCTGGCCGAGGCGGCCGCCCACCCACCGTCACTGCCTGCCCCATGTCCTCCAGACTCTGACCTCCCCACCCCGCGGGCCACCTCTGGCTCTCACCCTCGGGTTGGTGCGGGGGTGTGGCTGTACCAACAGTGCCCCCCAGCAGCGAGTGAGGGATGCTCCTTGCAGGCAGGCGGGGTGCAGCCTCACGCCCCGGGCCTTTCTCCCCAGGTGTGTGGGGCTTACCTGTCAACAGACTGGAGTGAGAGAAACAAGTTTGGAGGCAAAGTGGCCTTCTTTGGGACCGGAGAGTGCTTCGTGTTTCGGGTGAGTGAGTCTGCCAACTGCCCACCCCACAGGGTGCCCCCGTGCTGGCTTCTCGTTGGTGATGGTCAGACCACACTGCATGAGCTCAGGTGGGCCTTGGCCGTATGCAGCGTCTCCCCAGCCCTGGGCGCGGGGCCTGGCACTGACGGGGACTGGTGGGGGGCATGGGCAGGAGGGCTGGTGGGGGACCATGTGCTGGGACTCATACTGCCCTTTGCCCTCAGCTGCAGCCTGAGGTCCAGCGCTATGAGTGGGTGGTCATCAAACACCCAGAGCTGACCAAGCCCGTGTCCTTGGAGGTCCCTGCCACCCCGTCCCCACCCTGCCGCCCTGTGTCCTCTGACCCTGCTGACCGCCTCTCGCCCTTCCTGGCTGCACGTCACTTCAACCTTCCCTCCAAGACGGAGTCCATGTTCATGGCCGGGGGCAACGACTGCCTCATCATAGGTGGGTACCTCCCTGCACCCCAGGCTGGACTTCCGCCCGCCCTTGGTCACTTAGCCTGGGAGATGGGTGCGGGCTCGTGGGGCACAAAGCTCTTGCATAGTAGGTGCCTCCCCTGAGGGACGGGCAGAGGAAGAGAACTGGGACTGTGGGCTGGAGCAGGGGTGGGAATGGGGACAGCAGGGTGTGCGGTGGGGGACCCGGGCCCGCCCTGTGGTCTTGGAGAAGTCTCTGGCAGGGCCGGGGCAGGGACAGCTAGGAGGCTTGCCCCAGCCAAGTGGAGAGGCTCAGGAGCAGGGGGAGAGTGTTTCGGGGGTGGTGCTGGACAGAGGGGCAGCCACTGACCGGAGCATCCCACAGGTGGAGGGGGCGGCCAGGCACTCTACATCGATGGGGACCTGAATCGGGGCCGCACCGGCCACTGCGACACTTTCAACAACCAGCCCCTCTGCTCTGAGAACTTCCTCATCGCGGCTGTGGAGGCCTGGGGCTTCCAAGACCCTGACACCCAGTGACAGGCCTGCAGAGACGGTGACTGAGCCGTCACTGTGGGGTGGGGGTGGGGCAGGGGCCAGGCCCCCCCTTCAGGGGGAGGCAGTAAGTGAGGACCCCTGCGCAGTGGGCAGCGTCAAGTTGCAGCAGGGGCTCTGGATCTGGGCGGGCCAGGGGATGCCGGGACCTCAGATGGCTGGGCCTGTCCCTGCTCAGACCTGCTCACACCTGCTGCCTCGAGCTTGGGCTCAGGCCCCAGTTGTCCTCTGTGGAGGCATCTGGTGCTGGGGCCTAGAGGGGCCACGTCTTGCAGGCCTGAGTCTCAGACCCTTGGTGCAGGGGTGGGGACAAGAAAGGCAGAAGGAACCTTCCACCAAGTGTGGGGCCATGGTGCCCCCTGCTGGTGCCTCACCGCTGCTCCCTAGCAGAGGCGTCTCCCCAGAAGAGACAGGCATCCTGGGGCCTGCTCCTTGGCCTTGTCCCCCCCCTCCCCCTCCCCTTCCCCCTCCCACAGCAGGAGTACCTGCCGGGGGCTTCTAACCCCATGCCCTCCTCCCCGCGCTGGCCTCCTGTGGCTGCCTCTGCGACAGAAACCAGAAACCGCAGGGAGAAAGGGGAGGGTGGGATGTGTGCTGAGCTCTGGGCCCCTCCTGAGAGAGGGCCACGCACCAGTATAATGGGGGGCTGGAGGGGACATCACGGCTTCCTGTGTTTCAGAGCCTGAGGTTTCTGCTGGGCCCCACTGTGGGTCCATGCCCGAAGAGTCCGCCCAGGTTGGCCCAGGATGGCCCAGGGGAGGGGTCCTCTGCGGCTGACCCCAAACCAGCCAGCTCCATGTCCAGGAGAAGCCCGGACCCGTGGGGGCTTCTTCAGCCCTCCTCCTCTCTGTGCTGGGCCACCTCCACTCCCCGACAGTCTCTGCAGTGGCCCCAGGCTCCTGTCCAGACTGCTCAGCATGGCATGCTCATCTTTGTCCATCCCCACGCGCCCCAGGTTGCTAGGGTTGCCCCCTGCCCAGATCCCTGCCACGCACTCCTTCATACACCCCTCTGCATCCCTCACACAGCCCTGTAGTTGGCCACATAACATGGTTTTCTTGTGCCGCCTCTGCCCCTTTCCCTGCCTGGCCTGGCCCCACACAAACCCTGCAGACCGTAGGTGCCACATGAAGACTTGTCAGGGAGTGGCCTCCCACCTTGTGACCTCCCTCAGCTGGTCCTGAGGGCCTGGGCACCTGGGGGAGGAGGGGAAGCCGACAGACACCCAAGCAGCCACGTGGGGCTGTGGCAGCCTGGGCCACAGGTGCCAGGGGTCCCGCCCCCCAGCCTGGTCCCCACATGGCTGCAGCCAGCCCCTCAGCGTCCCCATGTGCCATGCCTCTGCTGTCTCTGTCTTGCTTCTCTTGTGAGGCATTGGCCGTCCCCTGCCACCTACTCCAGTGTCCTCTGAGCCGGGCCACCATGGTGCAGGAGGAAGGACCAGAAGCCCCATGTTGTGGCATTGGGCAAGCCATGGATCTGTTTCTCCAACTGTAAAATGGGGCCGGTCATCGTGCTCTGCTGTCCCCACGGGACTGTTGAGCGGCTCTGAGGGGGACAGCATGAGTCTCTAGTGAGAGGAGAAGCACGGGGAGGCAGTGTAACTGCTCACCTCCCCCCACTGCCACCCTTGCCCCCCCCTCCTCTGAGCCCCCACAGCCCTCTGTTGTAGTGCCCGCTTTGGTGTTCATTAAACACGGTCTCGTTACATGAACTCCGAGGGTCCAAGTTTGGTCTCTTCAACCAGAGGGGCCTCCAGGGGCCCCCCTGGGCGCACCACCGAACGAGGCGGGTGCGCCTCTGAACGGGGTGGGCGCCGGAAGCTGCACCCTCATGATGCCGGTCAGTCCATCATCAGTGGAATGTTGCCTGCCTTGGAAAACGGTATTCCAGTACTGTTTATGCGGCTCCCTCTTGAGGGAGGCTGGGGGATTCTTTGGTGAGTCTGGAGGAGTCTCTGTGGCTGCTCCCAAGGCCCTTCCTGGCCTTCCCAGAGGTCCAGCCCAGGAGGGCAGGCGCTGCTTAGCCACCACGTCTGTCTCTAGTGTGAGGTCTCTGTGTGCGCACGTGCAGCCCTCCGTTCCCTCGGCCGGCACGTCTGCTTCCCAGCTGTCCTGCTGAACAAAACGTATGTGTGATCATTCCCTTCATTTTTAATTCCTATTTATTGTCCTTGTTACGTATCAGGTGTTCCCAAATAGAACACGTTTTGTTAATACTCTCTATCGTTTCTTATTACTTAAAATTTCCTAAGATGTTAAAAATAGCTAACATTTTATGGAATTGCATGACCAATTATCATTCAGTTTTCTAGAAACATTTAAAAGTTTATTTTGAGGGGCGCCTGGCTGGCTCATTCGGAAGAGCCTGGGACTCTTGGTCTTGGAGTCGTGAGTTCAAGCCTCATGTTGGGTGTGGAGTTTACTTAAAAAAAAAAAAAAGTTTATTTTAAAAATAGAATATAATTTAAACCAGTTCATTAAATAATTTGTTAAAGTGGACTTTATGTCTTTAGGGCTTCAGAACATCAGTTTTTCAAAAACAATTTATAATATAAGAGTAAGTCATTAGTATTATGAATTTTTCAGAGTTTTAATTACTGAATTAAAATTCGTATTTCAGCTTTTCCTGCTTTTATAAGCGGCATGCTTAGCTTTTTGAGTTTTTCATGGCACCATGTTTTAGAAAATTCTGAAGATTTCAGGCTTTCAAATTTTTCTTACTTGTTTCCTGAAGCCATAAGGACTTTATAGTCTCCTTAAGTATTTTATATTTAATAGATTCAGTGTTTATAACTTTTAATTTGGAAATACTTTTAGATTTAAAAGAGAGATGCAAAGATGATGCAGAGTTTCCGTATTCCCTACCCAGTCTGCTGTGTGGATACGGGGCATGTATCCCAGCAGAAATGAATGTTGATATATAGTGCTGTTAACTACAGATTTAATCCAATGCCTTCGGTTTTCCCACAGTCCTTTCTCTGTTCCAGGAATAGATTTAATTTGTACAGATATTTACATTTTTATTAAATCCAGAATATCCTCAAAATTCAGAAGACTAACCCTGGTCAAAAAAAAAAAACATAACTAATTGCCACTAATTAGCACAGTGAGGTGTCAGGAGCGGATGCATGTCTGGACTGTGCTGGTCCTCTGTCCCGAATGTCTCATTTGCTTATGGAAGTTACCAACTGAAGCAGGAGTAGAGAGGACGCCTCACCAGCACTTCACCCTACCATGTGGAAGTTAGGCGGAGAAGTGTGTGGATCTTTAAAAATAATCTGGTATAAAACAAAATTATGATCCGGAGGCTTTAAGATGGCAGAGGAGTAGAGGGACCCTAAGTTTGTCTTGCCCCTGGAGCACAGCTAATTATCAAGTCATTCTGAACACCCAGGCAATCAGTCGGAGATCTGAGAGAACAAAACTGCAAGTCTGCAAGGAAAGCAACCCCCTTTTGGAAGAAACCAATATGGCACTGTATGTTGACTAACTAAAATTTAAATTAAAAATTAGGGTCTTCATTCTGTCAGTGTCGGGTTGTGGTCAAGAAGTGAGGTACGGTGTCACCTGACTCATGGCTACAGACGAAATGCCTCACGTGTTTGCAGACACGCTGTCTTGACTTGACCGTATGGAATTTGTTAACTCTGTGCTTGGGGCCAAGGAAGCAAAATCAGTGGACACTCTGTGGTGCAAACACACCAACTGTTAGAGACCTTCTGCTTCAGATTGCTGAATCTGCAGGTGTGTTCCCTAGCTGGCCAGCTGGTTCCAGCCGTTAGAGGCGCTTTGTCGAGAGGCGCCCCTGAGCAAGGGCGCCTGCAGGTTGGGTCTGCTCCAGGGGCGCCGGCAATGACATGGAGGTCCGGGAGTGGGCCCCTGCTCCATTTCCTACTGAGGTATGCTACCTGGCACAGGCCGCGGTCTGCCAAAAGCTAGCGAGCTGATGATTAAGGAGGAGAAAGGGTTGTGTGAATCACTTTACCTTTCCATTCTCATGTAGGGCGGTTATTGGCTGAGAAATGGATTTTTACTTGACCGACACTTTGGAGCATCTGAATGAAGAATCTGAATGAATGAAGTGAGACCAAGTGAAAATAGACTGGGGTGTGGCTTGGCAGACAAATCTAAGCTGGGAAACGTGAAAATAAATGATTTAGTGACCTGGTTGGTCAGTGTTCCTTTGAGTCCTAAATAAAATGAATGCCAACGAATGGAACCTCACTGAAGTATTGGCTGTGAGAACGTTTCGGTGGAATGGGAGGTGATGGGTGCGGGGTGTCTGGGAATGATGCCATGGAGGTGTGCGGGGGACCAGGAGGCACCGGCCTGAGGGAGGATCACTCTCCACCACGCTCTGCTGCACTGTGTGCGGCCCGCGCAGGCCAAGTCTGTCCTGATTTTGTTTACTCCTGTTCATGGTGCCCGTCCTGCTGACCCACGGGGCCGGCATGAGGAACGAGGGGGGCAGCCACCAGGAACCTAGGTCCAAAGTCTCAGTCTAGAATCGCACAGATCCCTGTCCCACGGGAAGCCCAGTATCAACAAGTCCTCGTGCGACATGAGAGTATTTTATCTGGGAGTTTGTATCAATCCACATGAATGTCTTTTCGAATAACTAGCATTTTAATTGGGTGTACCGATATCCTATAAAGAAAACTGCAAGACCCGTTTTCTCTGCAACCGGGCAGATGCCCAACCTGGAGGGGCTCCCCTCCCCCCCCCAGCTGCTGGAGCCCGGCCTGCGCTGGCACCCCTCAACCCCTCCACCCCTGCTGGGGCTGCCGAGGCCCCTGCCTGTGCTGGGAAACTGCTTCTCTCTTTATCTTCCTCACACTGCAGGCAGCACCCCTGTCCCTGCCGCTCCCCATTTCTCTCTGGCTGCCCCCCACAACACTCTGGTTCCCCTCAGCCCCTTCCTGCTGCCCTGCCCTGAGGGTGGCCTGGCCCAGGTCTGTATTGGCCCCCAGGGCCGGCTCTCCAGCCCAGCCTGCTGTTTTTCAGTTCCTCGGCTGCCTCAGGGCCTTTACACAGGCCTGCTTTCGGGGGTGGAGTTCCCCAGCCCTCAGTAGCTGGGGTGCTCCGGCCCCGGGATGCTTTCCCTGAGGCCCTAGGAGCCGGCCTCCCCCGCTACCCACCTTGAGCCTGGAGGCCCCTGATCAAGAACCCCTGTGCTGCTGTCCCGTGCGGGGCAATTCTTGGGGGGAGATGGGTGAGCATTTCTGAGGCCCATGGTGGGGGGAGTGCCCCCCAACCCCCAAACTCCCTGCAGCAACAACTTCCTGTAAGCATGCTTAACTTTGTGTCATTTTGTGATCGACCTCGAGACAGTGGAACGGGCCTGCTCCCGGGGTGGGGGATGGCCCTGGGTGTAGAGCTGTAGCCTCTGACACTCCGGATGCCTGCCTCCCTCAGCTGGCTCAGCTTCAGTGACAGTGACCCGTGTCTGCGTGGAGCTCAGCCCTCCCCGGGGCGGGCCCCCACCCCCCACCCCCGCGCCCACCATCACCTGCCGTCACACGGCCCCTCTGTGGGCCTGGTCCACGGTGGCCGTGGCCCAGCTCGCGTCCCCACGTCTAGCCAGCATGGAAGTACTTTGTTAACCCTTCTGCGGTGAGTGACTCGGTGCGTCCCCACTCCCTCTAGTTCCACAACGTCTCCCCCAAAGGAAGCCTGTGCCCGTTTAGCACTTACTTCCCAGGGCTTCCAGTCTGACGGGTTCTGACCAGATGAAGGGTGCACCCTACCAGAGCATCAACGTAGTGCCTGAGTGTCCTCGTGGGAGATCTTCCCCTGCGGTCCCAGGGGTCACCGCCATTAGCCTCTGCAACCATGTTCAGGGAACACACCTGTGTATCCTTCCTCTGCCTCCTGGGGGTCCCTTAACCCCCGCTCAGGGACCATCCACACTGACACGTGAGCACCTGCTTCCATCTCAGCAGCTGGGTTCCGTGCTTGGGACAGGCTGTGAGTTAGGGACAAACCGGGTCCAGGCTCTCCCCTGCTCCAGACCCCCTTCATCTGTGAGGACCTTGTTCAGAGACCACCCCTCAAAGGCCGTCCAAACTACCTGGCCCCACCCCTCTTTTGTATCATCTCTGCATCCAGCAACCACAGTTCTGGGACATCATCGTTTGCACATCCAGCCCCCCGGGACTGCAAGCTCCTGCAGGGTAAGAGCCCTCTTCCTCGATTTTGTATCCCAGAGCCTAGCTTGGTGCCTGCACACAGTAGATGCTCAATAAATGTTAAATGGGTGGCTGAGGGTTGAAAGCAGTTGTAAACTCTGGCTGGTGGACGTAAACCCTGAATGAGGCCAGACCGGATGGAGGGTCCAGGGCACACGATACCCCTTATGGGCACCCTGAGAAGCTGCTGCCCATGCCAGGTAGGGTGCCTGGCCCCCTTCCTTCCCAGCAGCCCAGAGAGTGGACCGCACACCACCCCTGGGGGTCAGGGCTGGCCCCGGGGCTCCCTCTACCAGGGATGGTGGTGGGTGTCAGGTCCTGATTGTACCACGCTGTATTTACCTAGAGGACGTTTTTATTTGGGGGATGTTTTTTATTTTAAAAAGTCCTATCATTTTGGGGCACCTGGGAGGCTCAGTTGGTTAAGCGTCTGCCTTCGGCTCAAGTCATGATCCCAGGGTTCTGGGATGGAGCCCCGCGTCAGGATCTCTGCTCCACAGGGAGCCTGCTTCTCCCTCTGCCCCTCTCCCTGCTTGTGTGCTCTCACTCTCTCTCTATCTCTCAAATAAAATCTTTTGAAAAATCCTATCATTTTATGCTTAATTTTTTTTTTTTTAAGTTAAGCTCTACACCTAACATGGGGCTTGAACTCATGACCCAGAGATCAGGAGTTGTGTGCTCTTCCGACTGAGTCATCCAGGCACCCCAATATAAACCCTAATTTTTAAAAATTATACCAGAGGGGCACCTCAGTGGCTCAGTTGGTTAAGCAACTGCTTTCGGCTCAGGTCATGATCCTGAAGTCTCAGGATCGAGTCCCGCATCAGGCTCCCTGCTCAGCAGGGAGTCTGCTTCTCCCTCTGACCCTTCCCCCTCTCATGTGCTCTCTCTCTCTCTCTCATATAAATAAATAAATAAAATCTTTAAAAAAAATAAAAATAAAAATCATACCAGAAAGATCGCCTTTGCCCATTCCCCTCCCATGGCACTAATACGGTCTTGTTCGATCTCATCCCAGCCTTGCCTGGGCCACACAGAGCACTCATCCAGCCAAGCAAGAGCGCGGGTGCCATCTCTTAGCGTTATGCCCCTGTGGCGTGTCTTCACTGTGACTCGGAAGAATGGGACTCTCCACAGGGAGGAGGCACCCCGCAGTGTCCTGATGCTCTTAATAAGGCTAGCGCCATCAGCTGCCAGACTACTCCTTTCTTTGTTGAAATGGCTTCCTTGGGATAAGTTCATCTTTCCAATCATTTGGAAAGTTATTCCTGGTCTTTATCTCCTTAGCTGTCCCCCTGCCTTCCCTCGGGGCTCTGCCAAGTGCTACTGGACTTCCCTCTGCCACCACCTTTTAGTCTTTTTATCCTCATTAGAATTCTTGGGGACTCAGGGCACTCCCTCCCCCCATCTCTCTGTAGCTCTCCCTATCAGGGTCTCTGGCTTGAGTTTCCCAAAGCCCTCCCTTTGTTCCTAGAAATCCCCACCTGTGCAATGATGGGCCAAGGGTCTTGCAATGCTGTGATTTTCAGCTGGGGACCTAGCTGTGATGGGGAAGGCAGAGGCCTGTGTCCCCCGTCACATGCCACACCCCCTCCCCCAGCCCTGCCTGGTGCTGGGGGGCCAAGGGGAAGGCGCCCTGGGTCCCTCCTGGCCCCGTGACTGGTCACTGGATGCTCCCCGAGCCCTGGTGTAGGAGACAAGATGGTGTCATAAGCCACATGGGCTCAGCCCCGCTGGGAGTCAGAGTTTGAATCCGACTTCTCCCTAGCGGGCTGACCAGGGCAAGACGTTTGACCCTCCGAGGCCCATTTCCTTGTCCACAAAATGAGAGTCATGGTGATATCTTCCTCAAACGGTCTTTATGAGGATTATATAATACACTAACAATGCTTAGGACAGGTGTGGCACACACTTGGTGATCAGTAGACGTTAGCTATATGTGCCAGGCATCCTACCAGGGATCAGGGATGCAGACAAAGAGGCACAGAGACCCTCAGTGGGGGAGGTATTGAGTGAAAAAAGGTAATAATGGAGTGTGAGGGATGAAGGAGGGGTCTGAGAAGGGAGGAGGGGAGATCAGGAGGGCTTCCTGGAGGAGGTGGTGCTCTAAGGACTGAGTAGCCGTCCCTATACAGGAAGGGAAGGAGAGAGTAGTTGGTGCAGAGAAAGCCACAGGCTCAAGGACACAGGTGAGGGGAGAGCAGCATGATGGGACGAGAGTGGGGGCAGGGGGCTGGTGCTGGGGATAAACGGGAGGGACCACCGAAGGGTCCGGCCTGTGACAGGAAGATGCTGAAGGATTCCAGGAACGGAGTGGCTGGTCAGGCGTGCCAGTTAGAAAGAGCCTGTGGCTTTCTGGGGAAGAACGCATGGGGGCGGGGGGTTAAGACTGAGCAGGCCAACCCGGTTAGAGGCTGTGAGGAGACCCCAGCCAGAGGGCGGCGCAGCGGCACGGTGGGGGCAGAGCTAGGAGCCAGGAAGCCGCGGGATCTCAGGGCTCGGTGAGTAACGAGGAGTGAGCAGTGGGGTGACTCAAGGCTTCTGCTGCGAGCAGTTGGGTGGATGGTTGTGTCTTTTGCCCAAAATGGAAATAACAGAGTGGAACAGAATGGAAGGTGGGGGTGGGGTGGGCTCAGTTTGAGACATGCTGGTTTGAGGTGTCAGCAGCCCCATCGGAGACCCAGTGTGACCTCTCACACGGTGCAGAAAACGAGAGGACAGGGAGCGAAGCTGACCTGCTCCCCGAGCCCAAGGAGGGAAATGTCTCCCAAGTCTTAGGATTTCAGCCACAGCGGGCTTGTGTGCTCTGCCCACCTCTGTGTTTTTGACTGCGCTGCTTCCTGACAGTGGGGTACCCCCTCTTCCCTTGGTCTGAATTCTCCCTCTGCACACAGTCCCCCAGCCAGCACTGGCTCCCTGGCCTGCACTCCCCTGACCCCGGGTCCTCCATGCCTGCAGTGGTGAGGGGCCAGGCCTGTGGCCTGCACTTGGGTGTTTCCTTGCTCAGAGGGCCATCAGGCGAGGGACAGGATGGTG